CTTGCATGGCCCACTTTATGCAAACTGCATGAATTTAAAAAACCCGCCCAGAACTTCCTCGTTGGCCTTCCACCTTCCGTCCCCATCTGCCACTTAAAACTCTAAAGTCACGCTAGAGGGAGAGAAATTAGAATCTTTAGGGTGCTATTAGATAGTTTTAAACCGTCATGGCCTCTTGAGGTTCCGCAAGGTAAAGATCCCTCGCATCCTCTATTCTTCTAACACTTACTACTTCCATTTTCCCTGTTTGCCATTTGATTACTCTTTTTCTTCCTATCTGCTCTGCCCATTTAATTATTCCTCCTGCTTTTTTTTCTAATTATCACTCTCAAGAGACGTTTTAAAACTAGGAAAACTAGAACTTCCGTTTTTAATAATAATTAACTGAACGCACAAAGCCTCAGTCAACCAAGTTTGGTAGAAACAGTTTTTCCAGTTTAAAATTACAATCTTGTTTTGAAAATATTTCCACATATTTGATTAAGAGAGCCATTCGAACGGACGTAACTGGTAAAATTGATGAATATAAATCAATTTCAATAGAAATGTTTTTTACTGTAAAGCTTTTCGAAATATATCGTTTCTGTTATTTCCAATGATAATTTAATTCATGGATTTAAACCAATAGACTAACAAAACACTCGATTATATTCGTTTTCGTCGTGATACGAATCTTTCTTTCAAGCAACGTGTACGATTTCTCGAGCTTCTCAAGGATTGAAACGAAACGGTGTCTCGTCGGAGCGATATTTTCCTTCGACAGGATTATTTTCTAAACCAAGATTCATACGTGATTGTAAAAATAGCCTCGCTTTTCGAAAGAGTAACGCGAACCTAACAATAACGACTTATTTTACGGCGGACTAAAATAACCGTTTACCCCGATATTTGTGCTCTTTAATTATTACAAGATACCCTTTCTTATCGTAAGACGCCAACGGACGAGCAAAATACAACGTTCACGATGCTAGTTCATGCGTGAATGAAAAATTCTAGTCTAAAAGGTTTGCCATTCTAATCGAATCCATTAGAAGCATATACATATATTATATAGTTACGTTATATTATATATGTATATGTATATAATATATCGAATAAAAGTAGAACGTGTCATCGATCAGTTGGCGAAAAACGCGTGTTCGACGTTTCCGTCTGACAAAATCGTACGTCGTGATGTCGATAAAAATAATCGCAATGTATAGTTCGTGTAGCAAACAAAGGAGCAAGAAAAAGAATCGAAGGTAAAGGAGACAAAACGTCTACGGGCAATTGGTAACTGATTACAGTGTCGCAGCCATAGCTCGATGTATCTGCAGGTACCCTCTTTCATATTTGTACATTTCAAAAGAAGACAAGTTTTGCATCAAATAGACGGTTTTCACTAACGCTGTAAGTATGACAGCTTCTCGAAGCGGAAAAGATCCCTTCTATTTCTCTACGATCTTTGCGCGTATCATTTTAAATCTATCTTTAATTTCATATTTGATTCAATTAATTTTTATTGATCTTTTCTTATTTTTTTTTTCTTTTTTTCTTTTTGCTTTAATAATCCACATTCCCCCCTCCCCCTCTTGTGCTATCGCCGCGCCACTGCGTGCACGTGCGATTATGGTGCTTCCAAAGTGAATTTGTGCTGAAACGAAAGTTATGCACGAAAGGGGGAAAAACTCCCGAGAGTTTTGTCCTCAGTCGATTCAACTTAATATCGACCAATTGAACAGAAGTTGCTCATCCATCGTTCATATCTCTCCGCGGCGTTGATTCGGACAGAACGATCGAAATATCAGTTTTTTTTTTTTTTTTTTAACTCTGTATAGACATAACCGATCGAACTATTGTGGGTCTACGAACACTTGGGAGAGTGTACAAACCAAAACTAATTTAATTAACATATTCTCGAAAATTAAAATAATCAAATATCGTCTCCTACGCGTTAAACAATCGTGAATTAAGGGATGCGTAAAAATGGAACAAATATATAGGAACTGACATCTTTTCTACTTCATCATTCACCGTATCACGAATACGAAATAGCGGAATTACTAATTAAGGAACCGATTTCCGCGGCCGACATGTCCAAGGAAAAGTGATTTCCTTTTCTTTTATCTCTCATCGCAACTTATTACTACATTTAACCTATAAAAATACTTCCTATAGGCTATCAAACGAAGTTCTCTTTCACTACGTGCTTCACTCAACAACACGGTGCTGTCTCTCAAAAGGCACGCAACGTTCGGTTACTACGTCGAACCGGTGTGTGCTCTAAAAATCAACTTTCCGAACGAATGGAGAATAAAGTAGAATCAAAAGCAACAAAATAGCCCGGGAGGCAGCCGGTGGACGACTCGTCACGATGGCCGTTCCTCCCGTTCTCTTCGCGAAGCAGAGAAAGTGGCGACAACGAGAAAACGTCGTCGCGTCGTCGCGATCTCGCTCGCGACGACATTCGACAGAAAAGACAGAAGACAGACAGACAGACAGACAGAGAGAAAAACAGTGAGGCAGAGAGAAACGTAAGAATAAAAACAGAGAGAAATAGAGGGAAAGTAAGAGAAAGAGAGAGAGAGAGAGAGAGAGAGAAAAGGGAAGAGAGAGACAGAGAGACAGACAGAGAAAAAAGGACCTCAAAAGCAGAAACGTCGAAAATTCGCAAATCCACGGTTTCCTTGATTTAATTCGCACACGCATACGCCAATCTGACACGTACGTGTCACGTGAAAAACATAGCTTGTTTTGGAAAGAATGCTGTGCATGTTATATGTTTGCTTACGTATGTGTGTACGTGTGCGTCGACATGAGTCCTTTTTTCTGAAAGCTGCGACGATTGCTCGGTTCGTATCACAGGTGTGTGTGTGTGTGTGTTCAGGCTCGATAAACGATAAAGGATAATAGAAAATAATGGGAAGGAGTATCGGTTCGTCGATATCTTGCTACCGGTGATTTTCGCGGTTGAAAACTTCCTCCCGGCCTTATCACTCCGGTCCTATAGGTAACGCGACCATGCCGTTGATAGAATAATTAAAGTCGTTTAATCAATGATCAAAATACACCGGTAACGACCGAAACGAGTTTCAATGGCGTGACTTATCCACCGAACTCCAACCAGCCTGTACAACGAGCATGTATACACGCGGTATAACTCAAAGGTCTACCCTCTACAATTAAGTTAATGAAACACGATCGAAGGGTGGGCGAATATACAAAACCGTGAAACACCCCTGAGACCGGAATTGAGGGGGAAAAATACCAAAAAGGAAAGAAACGGAAAAGGGTGGTAAAAGAGAACGGAAGGAAAAAATGTACGTCACGGGAAACGGGGAAAGTGTGTCATTTCGACATTTAAAATAATCTCGCAACCGATGAGAACTCGGCTCTCTTTTTCTCTCTCTCTCTCTCTCTCTCACTCTCTCGTCGATCAATCGAGCCAACGGGCGGAGGGGTTAACCGTATTTATGTAATATCTGAAAGTACGTTTAATAATTTTGTAAAAATATTAAACGGAGACGTTGCATCGAGAACGCTTAATGGAATTCCATAATTCAACCGGGGATTTCTCCATCGAATATAATTTAAAGCCGGAAATTCCTTTTTCGATAAGTCAACTCTCGGTATCGACTCGTCCTGGAGTTAAGCTTCCTCCCATTTTCTTCCACCGACGCGTTAGAAAAATCGCCGCCTTCCATTCCACGTCACCTTTATTTTCTTCTTTTCTAAACATCTCATTTACGTACAGCGATTGGCGAAAATGTCTGCACACTTATGGAAACTTACTGTACACATATTACACAAAACCATTTAAAATTTCATTAGCACTGTAACGAGACAGCACTATCTAGATCATATTGGTGGAGCCAGTTTGAACATGTTCATCGACGTATGTAGAAATTACAAAATATTTATTACAGATATATACGTAATGAAAAAATTAGCATATAGCGTGTTTTTGTATAAAACGCATACGATATGGACATAAACTTTCCGATGGTTCAAACATTTTCGCGAACCAGTGTATATCGCGATCTTAAATTTTCGTCGAGTCCTTCGTTAGATTAGCTTTGGCTCTAATTAATCCGCGTACATTTCCTAACCGAATGCTTTTCGTTACCACTCGACGCAAACTTCCGGACTTTTACAAGTGTTTACTCTAAAAGTACACGACCGAAATACCGTGGCTTCGTGCTTGTAGTTGAATCGAACGCAGCTACCTCTTAATCGTTACGGTTAAAGTTGAACGTAGTTTGTAAAACGCGTCTCGATTTACGCTGAAACGTCTCGGTCGATTTTCTTTCTCCCTTGGATGGGAGGCAACGCGTAACGCGGTTGATTATCGACGATGGATTTCTTCGGCATGCTCGTCGCTCGATAATATTTAAAGCGGTTTTCGATATCCGGCGAACCGATCAATCGTCGCGGAGCGTTTGACGAGCGGCGCTCCGTCTCTGAAATGGAATATACGAGGGGAAGAAGAATAGAGAAAAAGAAAGAGTAGGTGTAAAATTAGAATCGTAGTAGAAAACTCAGGTGCAGTGGCTGACGAGCAAGAAGGGGGTTACGTATCGCTAATTACGTACAAACAGCGTGGATTCTTATTTCTCGTGGATCGTGTGCGCGTTTCATTGGTTTCGAAACCTTGCGCTGTAAGCGTTCCAGCGCTAACAAATGTAAACGCAAATCGGCGAAAATGTAATAAACGAAATCACGTAAAATCACGACGCGTTATATAATAAAGCAAGGAAATGTAACGCAATGATCTTCGCGAATGGAAACACGCCAAGATTACGTGTATGCCTGCTACGTTTTGAGAGAAAGGCGAACAAAAATCCGTGTGTTTCGTACCGTGGTTCGACGCACGATCGACGAGAAATCCACATCGTGTGGAAGTCAGATGCATTGGTCAGAAAAACCAGGATATTAAAAGCGAAACGAAGATCTCGGGATCAAGGACGATCCTGAAGTCAGGACGGTCCTACGATCAGGACCAAGGATCTTGACGAGGGTACCTGAGCCACACATGGGCCGGGCTGCTCGCAACTGCATTGCCGTTTCACTCGTTAGCAGGGCTTTCCATCTCGTTCGTTGTTCGCATTTTCCTGATTGGTCAGAGACTGATCAGACTGAAGATCGGCCGTGCATGATCCGATTAGCGATCATGTCCTAATTTTTCAGCCCTTCAACGTTTGAGATCCATCGCCTACCAGCGATTACCAAAGATGATATGTTCAACGATTTCTATTATACTTCGATTAGAATGAATTTTCATTTCAAACTATTCGTATGCAGTTATTTTACTTACACGATAGAAAAGAGTTTAAATCCCGTTTCATTATTTTTCGTTTCTATTCCAAGATCGTTCTATCATCTTAGACGAGCGATTTGTTTTGGAAAGAAAACATAAAATAATTCAAGGAAAACAATCCTTCCTTTGTTTCTTTGATTTAAGAAGATGTTGATAACCGTTGCTTTGAGCGATTATCCCTTTGTTTGCGAATGGCTATAGCGCACCGATTTGCATGATTTATGATATACTATGGCACAAAGTCAGAATCCAAAGAATCAATAATAAATCGAGCTGGATACAGAGAAACAATGAAACTTGCAATTTGTTGCCAATATTCCACCCCGCGTTATTTCGATCGAACTTCCAGCACCGTATACGGCAATTTCTTAGTAAGAACAAGGTAGAAAGAGGTTAGCGTATATAGAAATTTTCTATCTACATATCTATACCATTAGAATCTATACGACGAGACGTACTTCCCAATATCTATCTTTGTACTTGCCTGTCTTTACCGCCTCTCTTAGAACAGTTAATTGAGCACATCACAAATGACATTTATAACAGTTTTCCTTAACGCTCTTTATATTAAGTTACTAGTTTAAATAATTACTATAAAACTGACAGTATTGACAATACTAATTACTAACATTTGGTGTCCATGTTCGCTAGTACGATTACAGTGAAATCTTTTATCTTCAGAGTCGGAGATCTCTTACACGATCTCTCAGACTACCACACGTCACACTCCGATCTCTCAGATTTAACATGATCTTTATACAACGTTAAAATACGTAAGCAATTTTAAGAAAATTCCCTAAAATGAGAATGTTGAAAAAATAGTTAAAAAAGCTCTTTGACTTACAATTGTTTTACCATACAGTAACCAAAATCTGTACTTATCTCGCTGAGGTCAAGAAAAATCCTATTACATCGTATGACACCCTTACGAAGATACGGAGAACTCAAAGAACAATCAGTTTATTTTCCAGACTTTCGTCAAAAACAATTTATGCCATGCTTAATACCATCCGGAAATTAAAACAACGCATCGTACGCGTCGATAAGAACGAATGAACGTGTTGATCCACGTTTCGTGTGTAATTAAACTTTCTGCCTCTATCGTCCATCGCGCAATTTTTCTCTTCGTAACGTATCTTGGCTCCGGTGCCAACGATACTATTGAACATTCGTTTTATCGCGAGAAGCTGGTACATCGTGGCCGATAGTCATCTTACTTTTTCATCGTCGTGAGCGCGTATCCCTCCAACATATCGATACTTTGCTCGATAAACAGACTCTTTCGATTTCGTTGATCGTATCACGCAGCTATCCTTTATCTGTTCTCTGATACTGATTCTCTCTCTCTCTCTCTTTGTGCAACGAAACGATACGGAGCAGCAAGGAAGAACGAACGAAACGTGATCGGATCGATCTTGCTCTCGGTAGACAGAAGGTTCACGAGCGAGTAAGAACCATCAGGGGGATCAAGGAGCGAGACAAACAAACGGGAAGATACGGGAGAAAAGAGGGTGGAAGAGGAACGGTTCGGTTGTTTCGCGAGAGAAGATCTTATCCTCGCGTTGCGTCCTGGGAATCCGAAATAACAGCCGCGATTCGAGGAGAACTTGCGCGAATCCGGCAACTGAATAGTGAATTTCAAAAGTACGATCCGAGTGGCCAAGCAGCCAAAATAATTGCCAACGCAGCGTTGGATTGAGTTTAGATTGCGTGGATGCGGTCGATTGCGTGTGGTAGAATTTTAAATATTTATATTTTATTTATTTATGTAACGATTTTAAATATGCATATTTTTAAATATGAGAGAGCACATGGACGACTTTAAAGGGACATACACATAGGTAGTCGTTCTTCTTCTTTTAAATCGGTATAATTTATTTTTCGATTTAGTAGTAGGAAAGATTTAGTTTCATTTGAAATAGTACTATGTATTATTACTTTAACTGTCTATGTTGTTCTTTGATTCCTCTAACAAATAACACTGTTAAATATTATTTTGTCGAGTCATATTGGATTCTCGTTCTTTTTTTCATTTTCGTATCAATCAACTGTCTTTGATCGATGTTGATTGTATGTAAAGAATAAGCAATCAATCATTTAGTACGTGATTTTCAAGAGCTGAAATTATATGGAAGTATAAAGTAATTGACTTGAGTTTGGAAATTCATAGAGATTCTGATCAGTTTGTCAATAATTAAGCGATATGCTCTGATATTCAATTGATAATATAATTCTTTCGTGTTACTGTTATACGCTGTTCGATACTGTTTTAGAAAAATATAGTTAGATAGTAAAAAATTTCTCTCACGTTTTCGTCAATAAATTCGGTCTAAAATTCCGTAACAATGCATTGCAGCGTACACCTACAATAGAACGATATTGTAGTATACTAAATCTGACATTAAAGACTACGATCTAGGTCGTAACAAACGCTTAATTAACGTAAATTTGCAAATCCCGCCGAGAATAGAGAAAATTTCCTTCATTTGTGAAAGCTAATTAGAGGCACAAACTACGACTTCGTCTAACTTGTCTATGGAGCAATTCGAAGCAGACGGAGGATTCTTTTAAAGTACACGTAATTAGACACTACAAACATTTGAAAACTCTGTTGAAATATGAAGTGGATACGAAAAGCATTCTACGCAGAACGACGAGAGGAAAACTCCACCTTCCAAACAACATCCACCTTTATCGCATTTTATCTTGGCGATTTTAACCTACGCTGGTGTACCAACATTTGCGTAAAAAAATATGTAAGTATAAAAAAGGAGTTAAATACGTATATATTTATAATACAAGTTTATAAACACATGGAATCGCGCAATGAATGTAAATTTTTTATGAAAAATAATTAATGCCGTGTATGCAGAAAATTTGCTATGCTATCGTAATCGTAACAAAGCAACTGTATTTTCCATCTTTACGCCGTAATTTTATCGGTGATCAATCATTCTCTGGACAACAAAGAGAAGAAAATAGAGAAAAACATAACACCATGGTAATTAAATTACGTATTCTCGGTCGTTAAAATTCTTCTCCTCGACGAGCTTAATATTCAAAACGAAGGATCACCGCGTTGCCCCGCACCGCGCCAAGCGTTTTCAGCGTACGAGCAAGCGCCAACAAAAAGTACGCGAAAGAAACGATGGAACAGCGTGCAGCATTCGGCGGAATTCCATTAAACTAGTTGACGTGGACTGAGAAACGGAAGGAACACGCAGAGGGAAAACGCGAGAAGGAGGGAGAGAAACAAGGAGAGACGAGCCAAGAGAGAAAGCGGGAAAGAACGAGGAGAGGAAAAAAGGGAAAAGGAGCGCTGGGTGAAACGTCAGCTTTCGTTGCCGGTAGGTTTATTATAAACGGTCTCGTTTTCTTCGTTTCGCAACACGGTCAAGTGGAGCATCGCGTGGTGAAAAATAATTTGCGCCTCTGCGTCGAGAAAGCTACTGCCACAACTGAACCGAGGTTCTTTCCAAACTAAGAGAAACGGAAGGAAAATTTCGTCATCGCGAAACGACGATCGCGCACGAATTATTCGCGAAACGGTCGTGAAATCGGTCGACAATCCCTCGTTGTCCGGTTTGTCGGTGTAAATTTAAAAAGGCGCGTTGATGAAAAAAGTTTCGGCGATCAACGAACCGCGACGCAACTTTTTTAACGAGTCATCGAAGTATCGCGCGCTCCCACGACCGCCAATATGAATATAATAGCGTTTCGAGCGCGCTCGAAACTTTCCGTGAGCGATGTAAAATAATTGAAAATTTTTCGTCAAACGTATTTCGATAGAGGCGCGGATCGATCGCGGGTAAAGACGTGAGACGAGACTAATTTAAAACGATGAATATAGTTCTTGAAATTGAACGTTGCGCAAAAGTGGAAAATAAATATCGCGATAGAGAAAATCCTATGTATGTGCTTCCGACTGAAAGAGAAAAAAAGGAGTCGTTTAAATTGTCCATTTGTTATACTTTTGAACATTAGGAAAAACTTTCAAACAACGTTGCGCTGTATCTTCAACAATCTCTAATCGTTATAGATAAATCGATTGGTGTAGAAATGATATAAAATAAAATACAATAATAGAAATATCATTTATCAAAAGATGTTTCTTTCAAATGCAAACATTTCTATACAATCTATAGGGGTTTCTTATCCTCGATCGTTTATAAAAGTTAAGAAATTGGAGCCGGTGAAAGAACCACGACTGAATCGTAACGTGTCGTTAACCCTGTTTCGAGAGAACCAAGGATCGATAGTAATGGATCGTTGATGTGCCGGTGACCGGGCAATGTATGAAAGCATGCTACTTTCAGAAGAGAAGAACCGAACGAGCCCTCTATCCATCCCCTGAGAATAAAAAGTTCGATGAAAGCCACAGCGCACTTGCTACATTCTTATGCAAAAGTCGTAAAAACGGTAGACTTGTTGCTAGGAGAATGGCGTCAAAATGCCGAAAACAAATAACATACGTACTATTGAAAAGCTGGAAGATCGTGGTCGTAAAGTTACGATTGCACTGCTACCGATACTGTATACCTCGATTGTTCTTCGACAGTACGCGTATCGATCCACTATCGTACTATGTAAACTTATTTCTTCTTTATGCATGTACGCTACGTTACGCTACGTACTGAAATAATATGATCATTGAAGAAATATGAATAACGAAATGCTATTTATAGCATTCGTTTTACTTATGTTTACTTTTCCCTTTTCTTTCCTTTCTCGCACTCGATAAGATTAATCTTGCTCGACTTTACGTTTGTTAACGAGAGTTCGCGTGAGTGGAATTTGCTTCTTGGCAATTATTCTCTGAGATTTGATTGCTTAGATCGAGGCAGCGACGTTCGAGAAATAGGCTACGCGAGATACAAAAGAAAGAATACCGCTGCAGAAGGCTATCTACTACCTAGGCAATTGCAAGAATTAATTTCCGCCGACTCTTGCAGAGAATGTCTTCTCCTTACTTATAAGATTCTTCGGAGCACCGTTATTCCGTCTTAAAGATTCTAAAAGTGCTCCTATCTTTTCTACACTCGAACTTTGAACACTTTCCGTTTGCAAAATTACCTTCAAAATTCATTCTTTGTTTCTAATTAGAAAAATTTACAAATTATTGAGCTTCAAAGAAAGAAAAATAAAATTCATCCACAGTGCAGGAGAACGACGAGAAAGTCAATTTCGCTCGTGAAATCGCTATCTAAATTCGTTATCTTCTATCTTTCTTCAAAATTGTTTACGTTTTCCACACACGGGCCCGTTTCTCCAAAAATACCAGTTATCTGTTGCTCTAAATCAGTCGAAGTTATGCTCGTTGCCCATAGGAAGCCAGATTTACATTTTTTCGCAGTTACTCAGCGGCTTGCTATAAATAATGCATGTTTCTCGCATTGCGTTACATACGGATCAGATCGACGCGTGTATGCAATCATTTGTGGCAGCAATACCGTTCTTTCTGTCACGGAATTCCTCCTGGCCTGTACTTTAATATCGATCGTTCGAGATTAACAAGCCTGGAACGAAGAAAGATCGTAAACAAACCATTTTAAACTCATCAAAACTTCTTACGATTCTTTCCTTTTATCGAGCTTATTAACGGTGTTAGCTCGCATCCAGGTTTAGTAATACATTTTTAGTAATTAATTTTTAACGACGCTAGATCCGACGTGTTGAAACCTCGTTTCGTGCCTTGTGCACGACTTCCTATGTAGCGTGTTTCGACCGTGTTTTATCGCCAGCGAAATCAAGAATATAAGCCGGCGAGAATCGTTTCACGTCCGCGTTAATTTTTCAGAAAGGCGGCCGAACAACGGAACAACGATTGTTACAAAGGCCAGCAGAAAGTGGCAAAAGTTCGCGCGGGAGATACGAAACTTGGCGAATCTTTCCTATTTTCATCCACGTGCATTACAACCATATACTTTCCTTGATAACACGTAAGTACATAGAAGCATTTTCGTAAGTGTTAGGGCATAAACAAAGGAAAATAAAACGAATCTAAAGAATCACTAGGAACTTAGAACTTCAAGAGTTGTTGTCTCGTTTGTAACTTGGGACTATATGACACTCGTATATGTTCGACGCTATACAAGAATCCTGTCCATTACATATGTACACATAACACAATAAGTTTCTTTCCCTTCGTATTTATCGTCTATATCGATCTACGCGTTCATATTATTATCTTCTCCGTTATATTTATATCAAACATTCTATATTTTATTTAACCGTATACTGTTGATTTAGGACATTGCGATTGTCATCACATAATCGCTAATTCATTATTTTCATTCAACCATTGTAAATCATCTTTACACATTCTGTTTCGCCTATACTTTTCATATTTACATCGTATTATAGATACGCGAATACTTCTATTTGACTAAACATTTTCTTCCATCAATTATTACGTTCCGTGGAAGCCAGTAAGTACCCTAACACGCTTAAACCGAGGTGTGTAAGTACATACGTATATCCTGCAAGTTGACAGTATTGAGCCGTGTCTGTGCCGGGCATAACGATGCATCGAGCGGCCAATATACCTACGACAGGAAGCGAACAGGCGCCAAACCAACGCCTCGACAAGTTTCTAGACGTACTCAATTAAAAGTTCCAGCCA